TGAGCACTGCTGAATGTGGTAACAAGGTTAATGAATGCTAAATGACTGGGGGTCAGCACTGATTGAAGAATAGGTCCTGCATAATGTATACACGGACTCTATAAACAGAAGTACTCGAGAACCTTAGGCATTTGTGAAATTTATAGGAAAAAGTAGCAAACTATGAAAGATACTGCCTTCTTGACTTAAGTCAATGTTGCATGAAACTCTGCCAGATGGCATAAATATCCCTCAGCCCAAAACCTCAGAAAGAGCCTTAAACACTTTAGCTGGAAGAACACTTATCTCCATATCCCAAGTTTTCCTCCTCTGCATGTCTCCTAACTTTTTATGTCAAATTCTTGAAATTGCAAAAATTGAAGAGTAGATCAAGGAACAGACTGAGAAGGAATGTAGCATTTTCACAAACTATTATCCACCTAGATCTATCTTTTGATATGCCACACAAGCAGGAACATCAGAATTTTGCTTATATTGATACCTGAAGCACAGAAGCACAGGAAATAATCTTACCTAATCCAAATAGGGTTTTGGCCTATCAAGTGACGGTCAAGCAGTGCATCTAAATATTAATGAAGTTTTTTCCCTTCTGAGTTTGGAATTAGAAGAGTGAAAATCTTAATCAATCCTCTCATCTTTTCTTAAATTCATATATGTAAAGTCAAGCAAATGAGTTGCCCAAATATTATTAAAAGGATATGAATGATCTGGTTTACCATAACCTCCAGTCTCTGTTCAGTATTTAAGTTCATTCAGAGCTCTCTGATATTCAGTAAGACAAGCAGCTACACAAACTTCCTAAAGTCTCATGCAGGATTTCTAACTTCTAATCTTTCTAGTGAGATCCCAACTATCTTTGCATCAGTCTCAACAGGATTTGCTTATGGCTAATTCAGTCTTGTGAAAAGGTCAGGAAGAACATGGCTAAGTTGTTGGCTTTTTTAATTGCTTAAACCGCATAATGCATGTTTTATTAATTCCACATAAACCAGTCCTCATGCACCACCGAGCACACGAGACAACTGGTGCTGAATTAATGAGAGCTGCATGGACACCTCAGTACCTTTAGTCCAGGGCTTAGAAGACAAAAATAGATCCTTTAAGCTATGTTACAGAGGCTAGATGCTTAGAAATACAAAATGAACTAACGTTCATAAACTGTAACCAGAAATCATAAAACTTATGTTAAAAGTACCATGTTTCCATGTTCTGTGTATAAGGACTTCTGATTTGGGGCTTATGCAGATGTGAATAATATTACATATAAAGTATGAAATAGTGTAAACAACAAGCACTGAATATTCAAATTTGAGAAAAATCACTGCAACAACACTCAGATTCACTGTATAAAAAAACAGTTACAAATAAATCAGTGAAAGAAGGTATCAGGGGAAAAATCTACTGGATAATATATAACGAATACATTTAATGTCTAGAAGGTACTATACATGTTAACATATTATCTTTGAGTGAAGACATGACACTTTCAACTAGTCTTTTCAACTGTCTTTCACCTGACTTTTAAAGATAAGAAAAAATTAGTTTTAAAAAAATAAAAATTCTCTCATTACCATTCAGAAGAGCATGCAGGTTAGTTAGGTCCTATAGGTAGCTCAGGGAAATTTGGAAATCATCTGAGTAATGATAATGCAACGATCTTTTTGGACACTACAAGGACCATTTTTAAATGCCCCTCATGCAAACGAATACAAATGCTAGAAGATGGGAAAATTGAATTACAGGTTCCCTGAGCAGTTTGAGGGAGCTTCCTTCTTTTAGACCATTATTACACATTCTGTTAAAGACGTAACTGCACATTTTGGGTAGTCTTCATTTAAGCAGAAGGGACTTAATCACAGTCTGAAAGACCATTAAAATCACTGGAGAGCAAAAGAGCAGGCAGCAAGTAATTAAACTGATAATAAAAATTAGGGTAAAAAGAAAACATCTTGAGTGTTTTTTGTGGTTTTTTTTCACATAATATCCAGGTGTTGAGAGACCTATAATTAAAATGTCTCTTATTTTCAATGCAGTATGTAGTTGGTTAACATAGTTCATAAACTCTTCCTTATTTTTTAATTTTTTTGTTTGTTTTAAATGTAAAATACATATATATATACACTTTGTTTTGGACTTCTGTTTTTCTTTTTCATGGACAGTAAATATAATCAGTATTTTCACTTAAACAGCTTACATTTTTATTCTATAATGGCTTTTTTCTTGCCTGCCAAGATAGCCATGTAGATAACCCTTCCTTCAACGAGACAAACTCAATATTCTTTTGTGGTTATAATATTTAGAACTTGCAAAGGTATATTAATATTTTTCAGCAGATGTTTTTCATATGGACATTTACATGGTGTACACAAAACATAAAGTGCTTTAAAGCTGTATAAAATACACTTGCTTTGTAAGAAATATTGTAGAATTTGGATGTGTATCCAAAGTTGTCACCAACAGATGGCAGAAATGCACAATACTTAACCAACAAAATCATCTGAAATTATTGCAAATTTAGCATGCTAAGAAAGCATTAAATTATTATAAAGTTTTGGACCTCATAATTCTTCTCCTATGCTGGTATCCCTACAATTTAGTTATCAGAGCACTTTGTCTCAGTAGAACTAATGCCCTGCTCTAAGTTCCACTAAAACATACATTGTTACAAAAGGAATAAAATATTCTGCAGTTTCAAATATGTTTTCAAGCTGAGATGTTCTGTAGAAGTAAAAACAGTCTACAGAGTATTGAAACAAATGTTCTTTTCACAGAGGGTATTTACACCATCAACTTAACTATCTTAGTAAGAGACACTGTTTTTTCTCCAAAGCCATCTCTGTCTTTCCACAGAAGGAAACTGATTTTGCTCTCCAACTCAAAAAAATAGCTCAGTGTCTACTAGAGATGTTGGAAACAGTCCTCTCAGACCAAGAATTGATACTAAGACCACAAGCGCCATCCAAAATTACTTGTGCTGTACGTAACAGGAACTGGACAGAATTCAAGCAAGGACTGGAAAAAAAAGGATCCTGTCTTTTCCATAACTGCCTTAATCACCACAAAAAAAATATTTGTTCCCTATGCTGTGCACGTGTCTATGTTTGCATCTGTTGTCTGTCTTCCCCATTGTAAAGCTCAAATTATTTTCTGAAAAAAATTGCACAACTTCAGTAGCAGCACAGACTAATAGGAATATCAGGGAAGAAGGATGATGAAACAACCTTTCCTGATAGTAGAATCTACTAGAAATAAAACAGTTTAATAGACCTTTCCTATCTTTAATTTCTATGATGTAACAACATGAGACACTATCAAATGCATGCACTAGGCTTTATTTAAATCACTGTAGTTCTAAGGTTGATTGCTCCTCATTCACATGTACTTGTGAAGCCAAGATCATATTTTACATGTTTAATCTTCCTTTAACAATAGCATCCTGTCAAGGCAATTTATTCCAATAGTCTGCTCCTACAATTAGTATTTTCTTTTTCAGAAGCATACAAGTGCATGCCAAAATGTCAGTTATTTGAAACATCTTCGCTATTACAGAAGATGGAATAACAGTTTTAAGTAGTGTGTAGAATGTTTGCAAATCATTACTAAATACAACTAAAGATTCTAATTTGTTGCAGGGCTTTCCAAGCTATCCAAAGAAATTTGCATAATAAGAACTTTGTGTTTAAAAAAAAAATAAAAATAGAGACTATAAACAAGAAATCAAGAAAAAGTGACACTGATGTGATTTTGATATGATTAAAAGAGATGGAAATCCTTTAAACCCTATCAATAAATATATGTAAAATGCTTAATTTGGCCTGCAAAATGACAGAAATATTGAAAAAAACTATCCACTAGAAACTACTGAATAGGCAAACTCTTTCATTATTCCTATTGGTGTTAGTTATACTGCTGTGTCACCATGGGTCAGTCAATTATGCAATCGCTTTCACAAAGAGTATTCATCTCAAATAATTATCTCTTTGCCTCTTTCTCAAATGTTGCAGTTTTGCTGTTTTCTCATTTCAAATTCCTTTTATATGGATCCTATGATCCTAGTTCTTGCTCTTAAATAGCCTGCATCTCCAACTATTTCAAAGTTCTGGGAAACTCTGATATGTCACATTCAAGTGTGAAAATGTAACCCTTTCATTTGCATAATGAAAAGAATCTGGGATTGAGCTATATATAGTGAAATCAGTAATTTTCTTTTAAGCATAAGCCTTTTTTTAATTTACATACCTTCTTTTTCTATTAGATTTCCTACTCTACTGTAAAACTGCAGGACATTTTCTCCTTCAGAAAGCATTACTGCATTTTACATACATAACAGAAATATGTGATGAAGACAGTTATCTGTAATGATCTTTTCTGGCTGTTTTACTGTTTTCTTTGGCAGACTAATAACCACAGATCAATATAGTATGAACTCTAACACAGTTAGAATTTTATTAATCTCTCTTCAAACAATAGTAATTCATCAATAATTTTTGCATATTTGTGCTTCTGTATCAGGTTGATAATACTGTAAAACTATAAAATATCCTCTGTTTTATTTTCCTTTCTATGTGAAACATTTAAGATGACCACTATTCAGTTGTCAGGGACAATGAGTGCCTGAGTTTCTGGAGAAAGGGATCGTCAAATTGTGAGGTTTCGTATGTTGTCTAAAGACACAAAATTCACAATGTATGCCATTTTTGGTTCACAATTCGTGTTAATTTCATTGCTGATAATTATTCATGGCAATCCAGTTCAGTGAATGAATGGTCTGGATCACATACTCAGGTTGTAAGCTGAGACAATTACATCAAAGTCACCATTTTATTAAAAAAGTGTTTTTTTCTGACATTTCTGCTGAAATGGCCAACTCACTGCAAAAACAACCTGGGTAACATTCTTCTGCTTGCACAATGCCACAAGATGAAGAAATTCACCATCAAAATGAGCAAAGTTTCAGTATTTTTATAATAGTTATTAAAAGGAAAAATTATTTTACTTACCAAGCCAACTTCTGTTTAAATACACTGACACAAACACTGGTGGGACTGTGAAGAAATCTACTACTGAGTTAACTTCAAGCCAAAACCATAGCTTGTCATTGGCTGCTATGAACTGAAAAAAAAGAGGGGGAGAGATAAAAGAATCAGATAATGCTCATGGTAGTATGTGCGATATTGTCAATTCTAAAACATTACACTCCAGAATTTGCAGAGAAGTAAAGATGTTTTAGGTCAGTCCAGAAGTAACTACGTGTATCACTGGGAAGAAGTCTGTATTGCGCATAGCATGATAACCATATTGAGACTAAAAAGAAAGGTCTGACTAAGAGACAGATGTTTTATATAATGAGTTGTAAAAGCTGTGCTAAAAAACATTTTATCCACATTCAATAACAATGCATCAGTAATTTTAGAAAAGTGTTGGCAAGGATAAAATATTTCCAAGTATATCACTTTTGCTTAATCACACCAAAATGATGGTAGTAGTCTCATCATGAAATGCTGTTCACAGGTCTCCAAATGCATGATAGTTTACATTATCATCCATTTCATCCTATCCTGAGGTAATCACCAGAATGACTCCTACAAGGCATAATTCAGGACTGCAGCAGGTCTCCAGTCCCTCAAATTGTGCCACGGATGAAGTAATTTCTCTTACCCGATTATGCAATCAACCTAGGGAAATTGGCAAGTTTAGATGCCAAGAACATCATAGTTTGAACTTGCCTGTTCATCTATGTGCTTAAATAAGGTCAAACTACCATACACATTTAAGTGGTAATTAAAAACATATACTTTATATAAACGTGAAATAAAAATATAGAAATAAAGTTTAGTGCACCAGGAAGATACTTAACAGAGCTGTTTTACTCATATCTGTCCTATAACCTGGACTAGTGTATTTCAAAACAGTGAATTAAAGACAATATCCCTTGTCTTTCCTCCAGGGCAAATATCTGCATTCTCTTTTTTATCCACTTAATCTCCTTTCTTTAGAATTATTTTAAAACTTTAACCGAAAACATTTATGGAGCATACCAACTTTGTTGGAAGCCCAGACAAAAAATTGGAAAGGGAACTCTACTGATGTCAAGAATGTTGAAATCATACTTTAAAACAAGACAGACAACATGTGCAGCATTTGCCTCAGAGAAGACTCAAAACCCAAAATAAATTGACATTTTGTTAGCCTGTATTTCTCAGTATCAATGCTCCAGCACGGCAACTGATGAAAAATACCCAGTTTCAGCAGAAGTTTCAATTCCCTTTTGCTGAATGTAGAAGCAGTCAGAATGTTTGGAACTGGTAGCTTTTTAAGACATCAGATCAGTATTTTCGTAATCTGTTATATATGTTCTAGTCAGCATTTTATCTTTCCATAGGACACAACTTTTAGGCTTTCAAAGGGATAGTGTGTGTTATTCAACAATGAAAACAAAGTCTGTTGAAGACAAAAACCACACATACTTTTCTGTGGAAGTATTTAACAGTTATTAATTATAGGTAATTATTAACTAATAAAAGCTCATTTCACTACAGAAGCAATCCTATCATGCTTGAAGAGATATATTCTTCTAGAAGCACTAGCATAATTCTGTCGTTTCCAAAGGATTACTTCCATACTTGCCATCTCTCTGCCAGACCCTATTACTTGATAATGTGCTAACTCATGCAATTTGGGCTTAGTCTTCATCTGCAGTTTCCAGACTTCCCTTATAAATTCTCACATAGTTGGATACTTGCCAACAACAATTTAAAAATGAATATGTGTGTGTTTGAATACAAACATCTTCTAGAACTGAAGGTATGGTAATATTTGCATTACTTGATTGCAACATCATTTTGGGGAGAACAGATGGAGAAGGATGAGATTTTAAAGTATTTCTTGAAATACTTTGCCAGTGAGTCCTCATAGGAGATAACTATCAGAAAACCACTACAATAGCTAAAGTTATGAGATGCTTATTATATAACTAGCACATTGATTATAGCTCCAATTCTCAGATCCAC